GCTAGTTGCTCCGCGTTCAGGAAGTCTCCGCTCGTCTGCAAGAATACGACGGCCGCGTACCGTGATAGGTTTTCGGCGCTGACGAGGGATGCATCTTCCGAGAAGTCGGCCTCGAATGCGTTGAACGAGATGCCGAGCTGCCGGATACCCTCTACTCCTGCAGGAATCGATTCATGTCTATAGCCGGCCGTCTTACTGAGAACGAAGACTGGGACCTTTTCGTTAGTTGACATGGTGATAGGAACACACTTTGACGCCGATGTTTTAAATCAGTGAGCAGCTTTGGCCCCACGGTAAGGTAGCGTGGCCGTTGCGCTTTTCGGTGGTGGCGGTCCGGCCGAAGCCAATCAGGATCTCGCCTGATCGGTGGTTGCGACATCCCGAGCTCGAACAACCGGCGAAAGAGGAGAGGGGATATTCGAGAAGTGATAGAACGGTAACGGTAACGGGAAGCGGATTATTTCAACTATGCGAATCCCCGCTTCGTATTCGTTCAAGTACTAGAAAGTCATATATGCTACGTGTATCTCACGAATTGGAAGATGAATAAGATTACCGAGAAGCGTGTATCATGCCCCTCATGCCGCTATTCTCTGAAGGCAATTGCTCTCATAATAGTCCAAATTTTACATACAGAAAGGGTCTTATGAGATAGACATGTGCTTAAAGTTCAAGATGAAATGCATGCCATTTATCTCTCTTGTTAGCTGAATACCCAGGGAGCTTCATTATTCATTAGGTTATGTAGGTATGCACGGAAATATTAGAATTGCCAAGATGTATGATTATTCTTTGCTTCTTGTAACTTTCAAGTTTGATACTATCGGAGTTTAAAAGATTGCTCTAACCAATAGCAGGTTACATGCATTCAAGTCGCAAGCAAGTACCCGACACAGCATCCGGACATAGAGGGATACATTACCGACCAGCCGAGGGTGTGGACAAGATACTCGGTAGGTACATTTCGTGTGCATAGGCGCAATGGTGCAATGGTGCAATGGATGTAATCTTGGAGGCAAGCACTTGAGTCGTTTGGTAAAGGAAAAGCTAGCAGACGATCCCCACAGGGACATGGTAAATGAATTAGGGGGACCTTGATTCGTCGAATCTGATAAAGATTCGTGGCTGCCGTGTACTCCGCAGTCGACAGACCGCTAGCTCCCTCGATGATCCCTTGGAATTTTGCGAGCTTGTAGGGGAGGTTAAGACCGATTAGGGGCTTAGGGGCACACTTCGACAGGGGTTCGGACACCTGAGGCCAGAAGGCAATTATTAAAATCAACCACCAATACAATTTCACAAGCTCCTTTCCCTTATCCCCAACTTCTCCTCCTCTAGACAATCCCGACAACCCCCCCGAACTCCGGTTGCTGCTAGTAAATTCATCTTGACTTCAGAGTCGCGTCATTGCATTCGCCAACCGAACCCATTTCGATAGACTGAATCTAGATAAATCCAATCAGCAACAATGGCGGACAAGGAGCTCACCTACCAGGATGTTGCCGAGCACAACACCAAGAAGGATCTTTTCGTCGTTATCCACGATAAGATCTACGATGCTACCAAGTTCGTCGATGAGCATCCGTAAGTGCCCCCGCTGTCTAAGCATTTTAATTATCAGCTTCTTTCTGGGCCCTGTTATCTTATCGCAATTGTGCATCGTATCCGTTGGTTAACCTAGGCTCGTTCAAATAGCGGTGGTGAAGAGGTTTTATTAGATGTTGGTGGTCAAGATGCGACAGAGGCTTTCGAGGATGTCGGCCACAGCGACGAAGCCCGAGAGACCCTTGAGCAACTCCTCGTCGGTACCCTTAAGAGAAAGGTAAAAGATTTATTTTCTTCTCTCCTGATTGTGCCTCTATCCCCCGATGCTGCATGTGTTTCCCGACAAATTTCAGTGTGCTGACGGACTTTGGATACAGCCCGGCGACCCGTCCCCCAAGGCTCAACAATCCTCCCTCGCCCCCGTTGCAAACACGAGCTCCGCCGGTATGGGAACTGCCCTGTACGCCGTCATTTTCATCGGAGGTCTAGCCGCCTTTGGTGCCTATCAGTACCTGCAAGCCCAGCAGGGCAAGGAGGCCTAAATGATTGATGCGATTCGATTGGAATTTCTCGGGAAGATGAGGAACGCACATGTCAATTCAAGGGATAAGAGGACGGACAGCTCTTTGACGCAACCCTGTATCGGTTCTCAGTAGATCAGATGTCATTTGGTTTTTCGATGTATATTGCGCGATGCCGTCTCGTCATTGGGCTGATTGGTTCATTCCAAGCCAGGCGTCACTTAGAAGGCAAACTGCTCAGCCGGCAAGGTTGATTTGGGAAAGGGAGATGATGGCCTTTTAAAGAGAGGTAGTTTTTGTAATCCCGATGTGTCCATGTAGTGGGGGGATAGTAATACGTGGATTTGAAGTTAGAGAATTCAACAATCCTCTGGCCTCAATTCGTGTAATAGAATCGTGAACGTCGATACTGATTATGCGACTGATTCTTTGAAAAAAAAAAATTGGAGATGAACTATTTGTGTCTACTCTATGCAAGCAATACTCAATGGTAATACAGCTTTAGCATTCTTTACCAAGGGTAAATTGTTATTTAACTTAATTTTCACTGCCCGTTTGTCCATCTATTCGATGCTAGTAGCATTTATAGGTATTCATAAAAGTCGAGTCTAATTCTCCGAGGTTGGACGAATTTTGACTCCGAGACTAGTACCACCCGACCGTCGCTGACCTCCAAATTAACAGATATTAGAGGCCAGGAACAAACACAGATCCCCTGCAATCCTTGTTATTAATTGGTATTGGAAAAATTATTAAAAGGTTCCAAGGTTGTCTCGTAAAATCCAGCCGAATGGTTCAGGCTGCATTCCCAGCCATCACGTGCTTTTTTTAGGCCCGTATCCTAGCTAGCACCAGTCCTAAATCCTCCTCACACTTTTGCTGTGCAAGTCACTACAGAAATTATAGATCTTCCTTCCTCACCACCTGCAGTGAACCTTTGTTAGTTACATACATACCAGGTAAGTAGCACCTGTTCAAGCCACGTGGGTACGTACCTTTGTTCTCCCCACCTCAAACATCAAAGCTAAATCGATTTAACAATTAGCTAAGGCGAACCTCTCATCCTCGCTTCGCAATCTTCCCGTTCGTTCTTCTCATCCTCCTCTCTTGCCACCAACTCAACTCTTCCTGCGACCTGCGCTTATATACAACAAACCGTCGAAACCGCCATCATGAGTCCTCTCAAGCCTACCAACGGCGTTAAGCGGTCGGCTTCATCAACCGCATCCCCGGCCCCGGGCAAGATCAACGAGAAGCGTCAAAAGCGCGAGGAAGCCAATGTTTTAACAACACCCGCCGCCGCCGCCGCTGTGGCCGCATCCCAAGACTTCGGTGCGCACACGTCGACGCACGTCTCGTACGCCGTCGACTTCCTCAAGGCGAAGCGCACGCCGAAGTCGCTGCAGGAGATATTGAGCCACTTAACCCTACACAGCCTGCCGAAAGAGCAGCAGATCCAATTCGCGTACTACCTCCAGAAACACTCGCGGATCCAGTTCAAGCAGGCGAAGCCCAAGGGCGACGAGCCGCCGTGGCGCACGGGCACGTACGAGTTCCGGGCCAAGCTGCCGGGCGTCAACACCAAGGAGACGCTGCTCGAGTACCTGCAGAAGAAGCCGGACGCGGCGTGCACGTCCATCAAGGACATCAAGGACGGCTGGCCCGACTTCGAGCCGGCCGTCGACCAGCTCGAGCGCGAGCACCGCATCCTCGTCCAGCGCACCAAGAAGGACAACCAGCCCAAGAACGTCTGGCTCGACGACCCCTCCCTCCACCACGCCATCGACCCCCAGTTCCAGTCCATGTGGTTCCGCGAGAAGCTGCCCTCCGCCGACGACATGCCGCGCCTGCTCAACCAGCTCGGCCAGAAGGCCACCAGCGTCCCCACCAACAACGCCAACCGCAACCTCAAGGCCGCGCCCAAGAAGAAGAAGGCCAGGCAGAGCAACAAGCGCCTCGAGAACGAGCACATGCGAGGCTTATTGGAGCAGTTCGAGAAGCGCTGAGCTCGACTGATTGGCAAGACAACTTAGAAGGGTTCATCCAGGAGTACGGCTTGGCGTGTTTTGGCTCAAGTCAAGTTTTGAAGATTAAAAAAAAAAGCATCGGCGGCGTTTGTTTGGCTGTTTATCGCATGGCGTTTTGGGGCAGGAAGGGTGATGATTTATATATCCGTTCAGGGGACATTGTTATATGTCAGGAGATTGCTTTTTCACGGTCGCGGCGCCGACTGGTCCACGTATTCTGGACGTTAATAAAAGGCGAAGTATGAAGCGCATATGATATTCGAAGTGGACTGCTAGAGCTCTCCTATATTGTGGTGTGACTTCGATCTACATCTATTCCAGATCTACCTTACTGTCGGAAAGGGTGAGAGCCCGGTTTGTTATTACCCCAACGGCCGGGTGGCTAGGCTGTGGTCTACGCGGACGACAAGGCTTCTTCCATTCTTATTCGTCTTTTCTATTCTTTCTCCGACCACTTGATTCTCCTCTTTCCTCGTGCAAGAAAGCTAGTGCTTTTGTCATGTACTTCCTCGTCTCGTTGGCATTTGCCGTGACACGTAATTTGCAGTGACAATCCAAGTAGCGTGTTGCTTTTCTACCTGCCCTATCAAGCTCGATCAGACATCCACACTCAAGAGCAGTCCACACAGATGTGCCAGTAGAGGCAATCGAAGAGGAATAAATCTCAGATCATGCTCGAAATCTCAAGAGAAAAATAAGAAAAATAAAAAACAAAATAAAAAGCTATCCGTTACCATGCTATCCTCACATTCCAGCAGATGAGATGCCCTCTGTTGCTTACCGTGAATCTACTATTCTGTTTTGTCAATCGCCTTGTAATCTCTGACCAAGAACCAATCGCCGCAATAGCCCATTAAATACCGAGCTAATTTTCAACCTGTCAACTGTGTCGGGCCCCTTGTTCAAGAGTTTCGTAGTGTAGTTGGTTATCACATCAGTCCAACAGACTGAAGGCCTCCAGTTCGAATCTGGACGAAATCATCTGGTCATCGCTTTTTTTTTTATCTTCTCGCCAGCTAGCATGGCTACCTAATCAGCCGCTTCTCCTCCCCCCTTACTTTCCTTATTCCTGCCCATGCGACTGTCCAGCTTCAGCTCCCCTTCCACCACCGACCCTAATCTTCTCCAGCTCCCCGACCAAGAACTCCGCGTCCTGCGCCCCGCCGATCACATACCGGTCGTTAACAACCAGCGTCGGCACGGCGCCAATCGGTACACTCCGCCCCCTCCGCGCATCCGCCACCAGCGCGTCGACCGCCGCGCCCCAGGCCGGATTCTCGAGGACCCGTGTCCGTAGCACATCCGCCGGACGGGGCGATTCGACGGACGACGGAAACAAGTCGCCGAGGACCGCGGCGCCGAGGACGCACAGGAACAACGGGTCCGATACATCGGCGTCGCCGGTGTGGTGCGCGGCGAATAGGGTCGCTAGAAGGCGGAGCTGGAGCGCCGGGCCGCGAGCCGTTGCGGAGGTGTTAGTTTCCGGATGAGAAGTAGCGCCGCCGGCGACGAAGGCGGTGCTGCGGACCGTGGTCGGCGCGGGCTCGAGGGCGAAGCGCAGCAGCTTGTGCGCGTCGCGCGTGTTCCCCGTGATGCCCTCCCAGGCGAAGTCGATGCCGGCCGCCTTGGCTAGGTCGAACAGGTGCTCGTTCTTGTGGTCGCGGGGGTGCAGGTCGCGGCCTTGGATGTAGGTGGATTTGTTGTATGCTTGTGGTGGATGGCGTGTTAGCAATAGTTTACTTCCTGCTCTAGAACGAAGGAATAACCGAGTTGACACAGTACTGGAGCCGCGATTAGCAGGTGTGTCATGTCAAACGGGAAAGGGGCTCACGCACTACGATGATAGAAGCTTTCAGCCACCTAGATATCAGGGTGGTTATGATGACAGGTACCCAACGCAACAGCATACGAAAAAGTCAAAGAAACTCACCACTCCGTACGGCAAGCGGATCGAGAAAGAACGGCGTACACACCACCTCGACGACCGCCTCCGGGTGCCGGGCCTTGTAGAGCGTGATGGCGGCGTCCAGGTTTTTCAGCGTGACATAGCAGTACGGACAGACGATGTCCAGGATAAACTCGATGACGAAGTGCGTCGTCTCCGAGACAGTGCCACTTTTCCCCGTAGGACTCCTGGTTCCTTCCGGCGCCGGTTCGGCCGGGCTGTCCTGTTGCGACGATGATAGCAGGTCTCGTATGCTCGCCATATCCTGCTATTCTTTTCTTTGTTTTTGGTGATGATAGCTTGTACTGGGAAACGGGGGCGGAACTCCTAGAAGAGTTATAGATAAGGCCCTCGGCGTCTCTTAGGTTTTTTTCTTCTTATGCCAGCAATCCCGCTCTTCCTCCTTTACCAAGGCCAAATATCAATCAGAGACTCGATGCCGGGATTTGTATGCTGTAACATTGGAAGAATCAGATAATCGGGAGAAAAGGGGGCAGCAAATATGAAGCCCAATTTGTGATCACCTCGGCTTCTCTAATCCCCAATGTTTATAATAACTAATCAATCACGAAGCTAAGCTGCAACTAGTAAATTAGTGAGATCCGTACGAGGCAAGCTTTTATAGGGGGAAGAAGGGATAATACTCGGTCAACCCTAAGTCTCTGCTTTAGAAATTACCTAGGAGTGAGATAAACGTTCCAGAATGTCTAATTCAAAGTAGGAGTTGCTTTTTAGGAAGAACCTAGCACTAGTAAATATTCATGAAGATATTTAAGAGTAGAAAAAAAATAACATCGCGTCAAATTCCTGCGGTGAGCAGGCATCATTGAAGGTGATGATGCGTCTGGAATCGACTTCCTCGGCGAACGTCGACCAGCTAGCTTATAAAGACGTAACAACATTTTTTCGAACCAAAAAAAATACCGGACAAGACTCCGCTGGTCGCCAAGGCGTGTACGTGGAAAAACTCCAAGGTTAGGTTAGGTAGCGATAGTACTACGTATGTGAAGAGGAGGTTCGAAGCGTGGTTTAAAGTAAATGATCACAAATCAAAAAAAAAAAAAAAAAAACCATCCAATCCGGGGAACTCCCAGCTCCTCGGCCATCCACTTTTTTTACTTTCCTTTGCGAGTCCCTACCGTTAGAAGTCCTCATAATCGTACGAGAAGTAGAGAGGGAATGTAATTACTGACTCGCATTATCACTAAACATTTTATTCCACTCCTTCGCATCCCACGCCTTATGTCTTGCAATGTCTGGGACCCTGGGTTCTGCACCCCAAGCTGTGCAACATGCAGCTAGTCTTGCCTTGCATCATGGAGGTCGCGTATACCTAGGTACCTATCGGTTCGGATTGCCAGGTCACACCGTGAGGAGAGAGTAAAGACGCGGATGAATGTATATCAGCTGAATAGTGGTACACTTGATCCTATCAGAATACATGCTTGCTGCTAGCTCAAGTTATGATTCCAACCAGGAGGACGCTTTTCGCCTGTTCGCTTAGCTAGGACTTCAATATTTGGAGCATCGCATGAAAATTATAAGATAGGTAGACAAGGTGTGATTTGATAGATGGGATAGGAATAGGAGGGAATAAATATATCTGCCAGTTATAAAAAGGTTCGGGGCCAAGGATATATGCACAGACCACCTCGCCACACCGTCACCTCTCACAAGATACGCCCCTTATCGAACTCGTTTTCGGGGCGTCGAGCCTCCTTAACACCAAACAGCATGTACCTACCTACATGAGACGGTGACTTGGGTAATTCACAATTGTCAGGCGCAATTCATCACATATGGCTCGAAAGACGAAAGGTACTCGAACTTTTTTTTTTTTGTAAATCATTTTCGGTCGCTTGCTATCGACAGCGACCTAGTTCCGCTGCTCTATCGTGGTGCCAATCGCACTCCGCATCAGAGCTGCTCTATAATCAAGTATACCACTCAAAGCCAAATGCTTTCCTGCCATTTCCTGTCTGCTTCTGCTATGAAGAGAACTTAGTTTTTCCGGTTCCGTATCATACTCCCCTTTCCCAACCCCCGTGCCGTCTATGCGTAGTGTCGTCAAGTGTTGCCGAACGCTTATCGAAATCTCAAGGTGAAATGAAGTAGCATGACCATTATCAATCTCATTTGAATCTATCAAACGGGATCTAAGTCCAGGGTCTTTATATTAGTATAGTGTATCGCTGGCGTGCTTCGGGTATGCGTATCCGGTAGTCAAATTAGTGGTGGGTGCGTGCGGTGCGTGATGTGTGGATGAAGTCCAAGTCTAAAGACTAGGCCGAGTGAAACTGAATCTTTGCAGTTGATTGCCTCGTCGAGGGACTCGGGCAAGAAAGAAATCAAAAGTAAAAGAGCAAACACTACGCCGTGCCGATTGGGTATTGCGATATCAAGCCTTCCGTAACAAAAGAAAAAAATGCAAGGTAAACAAGTCTATCAAATAGAAGTCGAGATTACCGTACTCGTAAACCAACGAGGTACTAGTTGGAAGAGCTTTTTTCACCGATTGCATCGGTAAAATTGCCGGCATTGTCAATCTTCATGCTCTTAACGGAGAGTTCAATGTTGCATATCTGCGGGAAACTGCGTGTGTTCGCAAAGCGGCGTATTATTGAAGGCCTCCATGGCGTTTACGACGTGCGCGGGCGCAGGTGTGCCAAAGAGCGGGCGTCCAACACCCGCCGCATGCTCAGTCGGCTGCGTGTATCCGACAGCTTCGTCGTCTGAATTGACGGGCATGCCTAACTACGGCCCTGCCCATAGCTCGTTCGGACGCGGCTTCACTTCGTACGTAGCTGAGCCAGGGTCAGTGCTAGTGGGTCGTCGGATCGAAGCAGCGTTGTAATATAACTGCCCCATGCCATGATGGCCCAAGAAGGACTGATCGCTAGGGTCCGGGTAAACCGAACCATTACCGCCGTTGCTGTAGGTAGGCGATCCCATATGTGCGGGCGATTGCCATCCAACGCTACCCATGTGAGGACTGCCACCAGTGCTACCAGATGCGGACTGATGAGACTCAATACTGGGCTCTAGAGTAGGCGGCGGCGCGTAAGCTGTGGGATGAGAGGTAGGCTGCATGCTCGTGGTATAAGAAGGAGCAGAGGTAGGGCTCTGGGACGATATGCTGATACGCATATGAACCGGGAGTGTGCCGTTGTTCGCGAAGGCATATTCACCATTTCGCATGGCGTTTGCAGCAACTAGTTCAGCACTGGGCGACATGGTCATCTGTCTAGAACCAGGGGAAGGAGTGTTCAACGGAGAACCACGGTTAGAACCGGAATCACCATCACTACGGGCTACACGAGCCGTCGCTGTTCTGCTAGCGTGAGCGGCGAGAATAACCCGGGTATTGGCCTCTGCTTCTTCAACAGTGCCGGTATGCTGGTTTTGGTGACGGGTCAGTGTTGTTCGTCGAGTGAAAGTCTTCTGACAGTCGGCATACGGGCACTTATACGGCCGCTTGCCTGAGTGGATTCGGCGATGTCTAGCCAAAGAGCTGCTATCGCTGAAGGGCTAAAAATCAATGTTAGCCAGTTTGTAACTGCTATGGGATGCCAGTTCTTACCTTGCCGCATCTCTCACATCTATGCGGCTTCTCACCAGTGTGGACTCGATAGTGCACTGTGAGAGCAGATCGTTGTATGAACTGCTTTCCACATGTCTCACAAGCATGTGGGCGGATGCCGCTGTGGATGCGTTCTGTATGGGAAGTGGTTAGCATTACATAACCTGGTGCTCATGATACATGACTTACCATGTCGAGCTAAATCGCTTCGTCGCGCGAACGACTTCTCACACGTGTTACACGGATACGCTTTGACAGCAGCAGCAGGCTGTGGAACAGCAGGCTGTGGCTGTTGGTGCATCTCATGAGGTTTGTTGAAGGTCATGGGCATTCCATGAGCAGATTGCATGCTGGGGATCATCATGCCGGATGTCATATGCGGGTCAGGGAGAGGAATCGTCGTCTGCATTGCTGAAGGGGAACCGTAGGATCTTCCACCCATTCCGTTGAGAGCTT